TCCTTTCAAACCATTTCAAATGATGATGATAATAATAATATTTTTTCGGGACGTGAAAAAAAAAAAAAAAGTTTTTCTTTCTCGACGACGATGTTGATCCCTGCGCGTTTTTTTTTCCTTTAACCCTTCCTCGCCTTCTCATTCCCTTATTCAATCAATCAATCAATCATTCGTTCATTCATTCATAATTTCATTTATATTTTTATTTACGAAATCCCAACGAGTTTTAACATTTCCGACACGGAAAACAAACATTTTGAATATTCCCGAGCGCAAGCATCTGGATCTTTTTTATCCCGACCCAAATTCAATGCAAAATTAAATGCTTCACGACCCGTATCATGTTTTCCATTATTCGACCTGGAAAATTTAAATTTTTTTTTTTTTTTAATAAAAAAATCGAACGATTTTCGATTACCATGATAATGATAATGATAATAATATCACATTTTACTCACCTTAAAATTTGTATTAAATTTCTTTCGTATTGATTTTGTTTTTTATTTGATTTTGTCGCAATCGTGCAAACGTACCTTCTTGCACATCCCGTCGGATCAAATTGTATTATTTTTTCAAATGTTATTATTTCGTTTAATCTGTAATTATTTTCACTTTCCCTCACTACTTCTTCGTCCTGTAAACAAATATAAATACTCATCATTATTATCATAACTATTGAAAAGAGCGAGAAACTTTTCACGTCCGGAATTTTCCACAATTTATTCCACATCTCTCTCTCTCTCTCTCTCTCTCTCTCTCTCTCTCTCTCTCTCTCTCTCTATTTAAAAAAAAAAAAAACGATCTACAGTCGTACCAACAAAAAAACCCCTATTTATATATTATTATTATTATTATTATATCTTTCTTTTTTTTAAAACAATTCTAAGCCATGCAATATCGACTTTTTATTTTTATTTTTTTATTTTTTTGTTATTAAAAATATTGAAAAATCGAAAAACAATACAGGTGTGTGCGTGAGTGCGTGGGTGCGTGAGTGCGTGTGTGCGTGTGTAAATCATTTATATGTAAAAACTAACCCCGGCCCAAAAAAAAAAAACAAAACAAAATAATAATAATGATGGTTAAGTTAAGTAAATTTAAAATTTTTCTCACGATTTTAACCGTTTTTTCTTAACCTTTTAACCTTTTTTTAACCTTTTAACCTTTAAATAAAAAAATAAATAAATTCGTTTAGGTAAAAAACCTTAAAGAGAGAGAGAGAGAGAGAGAGAGAGAGAAAACGTACCATAATAAAAGTCGTAGTATTGTCATGTAGATTATCAACGGATCTCGATGGTCTGTTAAGTGACGTATATTTATTATAATCTTGTGCCAAAAGATGCATCATGTACATTCCAGCCAATCCAGCACCCATCATAATAAGTAATTTAATACCCAAAGATGAAGCTTTTACAAAACTCGCGAAAATCAATAGAAAAAATGACGTCGTTAATAAACTTTTATCCGACATTTTTAAAACGAAACAACCTTAAAACGTACGATAATAATAATAATACTAAAGGTAATGTTAACTCGTCGCACTTTTAATACCAACTGATGAAAATTTAAGGAAAACGAATCATTTCAATTATTCTATAATCCGAATATAAAAACTATTACGTAAATTGTATCGTCGTTTGTTCCTTACTTTCTCTGATAAATATTACGTTGATTATAAAATTTAATGAGAGTAACAACAAACAACAACAACAACACACACGATGTAAAAAAAAAAAAAAATATTCAACGAAACGTTTAAATTAATTAATTATTTAATTTTAACTGGAATTATTTATCGTTATATATATATATATATATATATATATATATATATATATATATATATATATATATAACTTTGGAAATTTCTAGAAAATCAAGTTTTAAATGAAAGTCGTTTTTGTTTTTACTTGACTTCCGTGCAAATAATTTAACGTTGCAAAAAAAAAACCGTTAGAAACGGCCATTTTTTTAATTTTGAAATTAACGATTATTTCATTTCCCGCCGTTTTTATTTATTTATTTATACGGTGAAGGATTAAAAAAGGATCATAGAGTAAATAAATCGTTACGACGACGACGACGATGAAAATTATTATTATTAAAAATTTAAACAAAAAAATAATTTATTATTTTTACGTTAATAAACGACAGCAAAAATTATTTTAATTTATTTTTAAATTAACTTAACGATAGCAAACAGCAGACGTTTTAGTTTACACGATAATAATAATAATAATAATAATAATAATAATAATAATAATAATAATAATAATAATAATAATAATAATAATAATAATAATAATAATAATAATAAAACGAATTAATTAATCGATGAAAATAAGTTTTGGCCCATTTTTCGTTTTCTATTATTAAAACGTTTACGCGGGAAAAAAATTATTTTTAACGGTTTTTCCGTTAAAAAAACAAAATGGCCGACATCGATTTAAATAAATAATAAAATTAATTAATTCTCATACTTTTGTGAGAATTTTTTTTAAAAATATATTTCATAGAGTATTTAAACGTAACATTATTATTTAATTATATAAAAAAAATTACGGGGAAATAAAAAAAAAAAAAAAAATGGCGGATCGAGTTTTTTGTTTGTGTGCGTGTGAAGGGAATCACGTATTTGAAGGGGAGAAAGGGGGGAAAGAGGGGGGGGGGAATTATTATTTGCAATTTTTAAACCGGTTATTAATGTGAATAATTCAAAACATTTAGAAATAAAAACGTGCGATAGAAACAAGAGGAAAAAAAATAAAGAAAAAACTTTCTCCGAATGATATAACGACCGGAAATTTACAACAACGTCAAATTTTAAAAAAACCGGTTATTATAGAATATCAGCGGTTATCTTAAAAAATAACCGTTATTTTTTTGTTTTTTAAATTTTTTAATTAAAGGGTGAAAGAAACGATTCGAGTGTGTATAAAATTTTTTTTTTTTTTTTCGTGCAAACCAACGACCTGTAATTACGATAATAATAATAATAATAAAATATCAAAAAAAATTATTATTGCCAAAAGAGAAATTTCTTCCGAAATATAATTAAATCGTTCGTAAAAAAAAAAAAAAAAAAAAAAAAAAGGAAGAAAAGAATTGATTACGTAAGAGCATAAACGTAAGAGCATTCAAAATGTTTTTCTTTCGTCGAATTCGTCGTGTCAAAACGATTCGACTTATGACACGTCAATCAAAATGGCGGACATTAGAGAGCGTAACGTAAAAGTAAACAAGAACAAATAATTAATTGAATTTTTCCGATTGATTTTTTATAATTTTATTCGACGTTTTTAATTATGGACGATATTTACGGTAAGTTTTTTTATATTTTATATATAAATTATTAATATTTTTATGACTTTATATCAATAATGTTTATCTCGGAAGAAAAAATAACCGTTGGAAACGAAACATCATCTTAATATCAATATAAATTATTAATGGAATTTGTTTTTTTACGTTAGGTAATTTGCCCAAATGGGAAGAAAATACGTTGAAAGGGAAAAA